GGCCGGGTCGGACCTCGGCGACCCCGCGCGTAGCGGGTGGACGAGGCCCAGCAGGGTCCCCTTTGTGCAGCTGTAAATCTGGAGCGAGTCTGACTCTGCCGGACCAAATGTTGATTTGCAGCTGTGTAAATAAGATGAGAATTTGGCCTTGGCTCCATCTAGCTGATTACATCTTTTTGTGTTCCCTCCTTGCTGCTTCTGCCAAGAAGAGCGGGGAGGAAAGCAGAGAGCAGTGGTGGCGGATGAAAATAAGCGCTTGTTAGCATGTAACATTTGATGATAAACTTAAATCAGCATTTGTTAAATATTTGCGAGTGTAGCGAGATGGGACGCTTGTGGAGGGCTGTGTCTGGCGTATTAGCGTGATTATTTTTTTAAGAGGCTGCGCAGAGGCAAACGGTGCCTTTTTGGTCAGCATTGCTCACGCATGATGCTCTTTGCAGCTAACGAGATGCAGATGCTCGCGTCCAACTCCAAGCGGCTGACGCTGGAGGAGCGAGCTGGGCTTGCGGGGAAGGGGGGGACACGCCAGCCGCTTGGGATCCTTCCTCGATAATGCTGCGAACAGGGGAGCCAAATTAGGAGCAAAGTCAGGCGGAAGGCAGTATCGTTGGTTCCGCCGCTTCGAAAATTAGAGTTGACCGTCCCCGAAAATCGTGCGAGAGGTGCAATGAACAGCGAGATCTGAAAAGCGAGTTGGTTGAAGAAGGGCGTGGGACAGGGATGAGCTTTTTTCGTATTTCTCAGCTTATTCTCTTAACCTCCAACAACAGGCAGTCGGGGAGGCTTCCTGAACTAGAAGTTGTTTCTGCGACCCTCGATTAGGTTTCTTTTCCGGTCTGTCCTTGAACTGGTCTTTTAGTATCCACAGCATCTCGCGGCGGGGATTTCCTATGTGTCATGGGACAGGCCAGCATCTCCCATTTGCTTTGAACGTCCATGTGCCGACTGGACTGGAAGGAAAATACCAAAAACCCCGTGTTTCAGATAGGCAGTCCAACGCAGCAGCACGCAAATCTGGACTGAAACCGTGTAGAAATTCGGGGGAGAGATGCTTTGCGGCGATGCACGGCTGCCCTGCGCCAGCACGTGCCTCCCAAAAGCCAAAGCGCCTCTTCTCTGCGGCCGAGCTGAAAAGAGAGGCTTTTCCTGGACGTGACCGAGCACGGCCCTGCAAACGGTCGCCCTGCACCCGTGCAGCCGTCGGCTTCGGGTTTTCGGCACTGCGGGCGCCCCAGCGTGAGGCAGAGGCGCGCTCGTTACAGAGTTCGTTAAGCTTTTGCCGCGGCTGCCAGGTTTGTGTGCCGCTCGAAGGAGACCTGCCCTTGGTTGCAACGCGCCGTAACGAAAAACCCCTCCGGCAGGTTTGCTCGCGGGAAGCGGCGCAGGTGGAGGAGCCCCCGCGGGTCCTGCACGTGAGGCTGGGAAAGGGCAGAGTGAAAAGGCCTGGCCGTATCGCCTTCGTGAGGAGTTGTAATGAAATACTACTTCAGTGGATTAGGAAAGTGCCACCAGTAATGTTATATATGTAGCTTTCAACTTTAATAAGGTGTTGCAAAAACTATGAAAATAGTTATAACTGAAACCACATTTTGCAGCGAGCACCAGCTCTGTTCTCCTTTGCCCCGGCTACAATATCTCGCTTTGTACTGTCGATAAAGCTGTTAAAGCCAATTGGAAAATGGTAACTGAGCGATCTGTGGATTTGGGGTTAATCTACGCGATATTGATAGCTGAAAATCCCAGCCTTATTTTAAACCCTTTCGACTGGTGAATGTTTTATTTTGCGTCAGTTGTACGCTTCTTAAAGAATGTGTTTCCAAACAGGATTTGGACCATTAAAATCGCATCACCCGAAGTCAGGAAGCTGACCTGTAATTGCTTCCTGTAGTAGCAGTGACTGCAGTAACATAAGAGATGCTGCTGTTGCGCTAAAATTAATGCTTTGAATTTAGTTGTAAAGCTCTAGCCTCCCTGCATTTTTCCTTGGTAGAAAAAGTGGCTTTTTCCTTTGGACCCACCATCTGACTGCCTCCTGGCATCCCAGGTAATAAAACCTGCGTGTGGTGGGACGAATGAACTTGGCGTTGGCTGGCTCCCGGCCACGTGGGGCAGGATGCAGGGACGAGACCGTGTTAGGGTGACGTGAATAAAATGACCCCGGATGGCGTCCGGGGTTGCCTAGGCACAGTTAATTTCTTCCGCAGAAGCGGCGTTTTCTCTTACTCCGCTCTCCTCTTCCTGTTTCTGCTATAAAAGCTGCCATGTGCGATCCAAACAAGCAAAGTCTAGGGTGAGATTTGGGTTTTCCAGGTGCTCTTTGAAGCCTTTTCCCATCACAAAGGGACTCGGTTGCTCCAGAGGTGCTGCACACCATCGCGGCGGTAGTCCCGGACTAAACAGCTCTGTGAATCAAACAGCAAGTCACAACTTTTCAAAATCCTGCCTTTAATCCCTTCAGAAAGGAATATTTCATTTCAGTGGTTTTATCTGCGAGAACCTCGTATTATCTGATCAGCTGTGCGTTATTCCTCGCCTCTTATTTTTCGGAGACAGGACTAGTCTTTTTAGATATATCACTTCTAGGTTTGTTGGAAGGCACTTTATAGCTTTGTAAAGCCCTTAAAATGTTTTTTAAACACTACTCCAAGCTTATAAGGCTAGTTTTAGAATAGCAATTACAAGCTCCCTTATCCCCAAGCGAATTCCCGCTGTGATGGTGTATGTAAACCGTTTTAGACGTTTTTAATGCTTGCAAGCAATAAATTTGAAAGGGAAAGCCAAGCCACCTCAGCCTGTACAAATGAAAGGCGTACTGTCCTAATTTATGTGGCGCATAAAACTCTTGTGAAGTCGCCTTGCGTCTTTCTGCGGGGAAGTTTATATTTTTACTGATTCAAGCTGTTAATTTTTCCATTCGGCCGGCTGTTCCCAGGGTCTGCGCGGGGATGCGCGAGCCCCGGGACCTGCTGGGGGTGTTGCAGGGCCAAGGGTGTTGGTCCACCGGGCTTTGCTCTTATTTCTTGCGCCTTTCCAGGGATGAGACCGGGAACATTTTGGGTATAAAACAGCTCAGTCTCAGGCTTTCCCTGCCGCTCTCCTGAACGAGGCTTTGCGCTCCCCGTCTGCCACGCTGCCTCCCCTCTCCCAGCCGTTTGCCAGACCTCTTGCTCCTCCTTAGGAGTCACCCCTTTCAGACAAAGAGGGGGAAAAAAAATTCCCCCCCAAAACCCCAAACTCAGAATCTGGATCCTGAGTGCATTAACTTTCCTTCGCTTGGGGGGGAAAAAAAAATTGCATCTCAGTCCCAGAGAGATCACATTTGTGCAGAGTGCCCGGAAAGGTCTTTAATGCATTTGTGCAGAAAT